CTCGGACATCTTCCCTTTTCGGTATCATAATATGAATAAATATTTTTAAACCATAAACGTTCCCATATTGCTTTGACATTGCTGCGATCGTAACAAAACAGAAGCCCCAGTAGTTATCAGCTCTGTTGGTGTTCGTTAATAACACAAGTTTGTATTGGCTCATTTCGAAATGGGGAAGCTGGGTGTTTAGTTTGAAAGGTCGGAGCGCTGTGGGTTGCAGATAATAAGGAAGTTGGATATTCAGAATTTGCATATCAGAGCAGATTTGGCATCAAGGTGGTGGCAAACGGGCCCATTTAAAGGAAGAAGATCCCCTCCCAGTGCTTGTGTTTGTTGGTGCTAAAGAGCGCAGTGGCATTTTCCGACAATGCCGTGCTCGTCGTGGAATGCGTTTGAAGTGGCTCACCATGCCTGTGCTATTGTCAGAGCGTGTGCGTGTGTTGTGTGCACACCAATCGGTATGCACCCCAATTATCCGATGCCGTCTGCTGGATCTCATCTCCTAAACACCCGACATGTTCCCTTCCAGCCATTGCATGTTAACTGTGTTGCGTGTGTTTGGACGAGGCAGTTATGCACGGGAACAGTGTGTACCATGTCGCTGCGCCACAGTCAAACTTGTAGGAACCGCCTAACAGTAAAATGAACGCAGCCAGTCCACCTGAAAGGTCAGGCTGCCTTAATTGAGCGCAAGACGAGTTTTGAGATACTTGCCCACAAAGAGTCAGCTCTTTACAGTCTTCCCTGTCATGTTCTCTTTTAGGAATAGGCAGTGTTAAATGAATTGAGCCACCATACATCTTGTGGAACAGGATGTCTCTGTTGTTGGGGCCGTTAAGTTTTTAGTTGGACCATCACTAGTGACAAAGTGTTTATGGATCGATTAATTGGACTCTGCATTTCATCAAAACCTGGCAATTGAACAGGGGTGTGATGACTTTTTATACCCACTTTATCTCTATTTGCCACCAGAACCGCAATTCAAAGTATCAACGTCCATCCAGAACTCCCGTTATCGTCTAACCACTTCTGGAGTAGTGATCAATGCGAAGCGCTTATAGTTGGTGAAATAATCATTTTTGCTCAGAAATGACCTTGAAACACGTTACTAATAATCATGAAGGATATTTCTGCGAAGACACTGATCATCTTTAAAGAGTTCTCTTTATCATTTTTAATAAGGTAGGAAACAGATATACAGTCAAACCTCGGTCCTCGAACGTCTCTGTTCTCGACCAAATCGGTTTTCGACCAAAAATTTCGAGTTTTTTATGCCTCAGACTACGACCAAAAATCGGTTCTCGACCAAACTGAGCGCACTTGAATGCGCCACGTGACTCCTCTTTTCTTCTGGTAGACAAGGAAGTGATGCTTCCTCGTGTAGCGTTCCATTGTGAGCAGACGTGTTCAATAAAGATTTTTTTTTTTTTTTTTTTAAAGAGCGTGGTTTCGGTTTTCGAACAAATCGGTTTTTGAACAGCCTTCTGGAACGGATTATGGTCGAAAACCGAGGTATGACTGTATCTCACAATGCAATACTTTTATTTCTCCCAATATCTGCCATTGTTCAAATTTTCACAGGTCTGCCCCAAGAGTCCTAGTAAATCACAATGTCCCGCCACCGGTGAGCTATTTTTAGAACAGGGTCATGTGCTACGCATGTGGTCCTTAAGGGTGACCTGGTGCTAGCAGGTACCATGGTGGTGACCCCTGCTCTAGAGGAAGTGAACTGTCAGGGGTTCTTTCTTAAACGCTTCCTCCACCTCTCTTATCTCGCCAAGTTTCCTTTTTGACTTCAACTAATTTGGCAATTTGTCCCCCTTGTTTCCTCGTTTGCGTGCAGTTTCAACGCAGGCTTTGCCGATGGCAATTACAAGAAGGGAATGAAAACCCAAATTTTGCGTTTGCTTTTGACTTCCTCCTCAATACGGAACAGGCAGATTTGTATGGCTTTCGTACTGAGGCTAGCTGGTTGGTGCAGCTGCATTTTAAAATCAAATGGGATGATTGTGAAAGAATGTGAACTATCTGCTACGGAATACAGTTCCAGCTTTTCGGACCACCCGTGGAAATCCCAGAAAATTGAAGAGGAAATGTTTAAGATGGGCTTCTGATTTGACACTATCTTGCCATTTCTTCCTTTGGTGCGCTCACTTCAAAGGATTCCAGAGTGTCCGACCCAGCCTCACGTCAAACTGTCAATGAAGGGAGCAGCAACAACACGCACACGTGTCTTTACAGCAGGCCTGTTTGTTTTAATTCAGAGCTTATCTGATGCCATCGGGCCCCGACTTTCATTCCTCGATGGAGAGCTGTGGCTGTTTATGTAAACTTCTGCTCACTGCTCAGAAATGTGGTCTGCGTTGGTGGGGGTGCCGGGGATCTCTCTCGCTCTCTCGCTCAGGCAAAGAGAGTGCGCCGTTACGCCATGCTGCAACAATCTGATTTGATCGTCATTGTTACTGTCGGCCCTGTTAGAACCGTTGGTGGCTTTCCGCTGTAAAATCCGAGTAGAGTCATCCCTGCTCTGTGCGGATCAGCCAAAGAATCATTTTGAGGCTGTTGCAGGACCAGGCACGAGACCATCGCTGTGTCCTCATGTAAATCATTTTCAAGTCACCCCTTTTTTTGTCCGCGACCAATATGTAGATTTGAAGAATTGGTCAATAACCTGGGTAACAAGTCAAACTCTTTTGACCTTTTCCTCAACTGTTTTTGAGGAGGTAGTGGCACACAAACGCTAGGAAAGAAAATTGCCCACTGGTTTGACGATCACATGTTTTCGACTTTTGTGCATCTGTTCTCAGTTGACTCATTTTTATCTGTGATCCAGTCGATCGCAACAAATGGATATTTATTACTTTGTTTTTCCATTTTAAATCATTGCATTAATAAGGAACGTGGTGTACAGCTGCACTTCTGACCTGACCTTGGCCTAATGCAGTAGACACTTGACATTTGTGCTTTGCTTTACGTCATATACCCCAGTAATGATGTCTATTATATTTGATTTATTTAATCAATCAAACACTTTTCTTTCTGTCAAACCGCTAAATGTGCACAACTGAATACCTGCGCAGGAATGTTTGTGTGTTGACTGTGCTCTGGGTGCCATGTAACTGAACCCGATGCATTCAATTTATTTTGAGGACTGTCATTTGACTGAGGAGTGGTCGTCTGACGCACAGCCCGGTGACGCACACCAACACGCTCGCACTCACGCGCGTCCACATCATTTTGACTGGAACATACAACCTTGCCAAAACACTGACTTAACATTGACCATTGACTTAAGTTGTCATAATTTATGATGTTGCTATTCTTTTTTTTTTTGTCCTAAAAAAGAAATTCTTACGGTGCGACAACATATGAAGCTGCTCGTTGGTAGAATTAAAAAAAATAAATAAATAAATAAATAATAATAATTCTGTGCAATTTTGATCCATGATATTACCGTAGAGCAAAAATTTCAAACATACGGCCCACGGGCCGGAACCGGACCCCTGGGAGGTTCGATTAGGCCCGCAGGACAATTTAAAAATGAAAAAATGCATAAAAGACACGGAATTAATATTTTTAATAAAATGCAATTCATGGATTATCCGCTAGGGGGCAAACTGTTTTGTCTTTAGTTTGTAAATTGTAGGCAGGGATTAAATTTAGATTTTATATGCACATGTGTAAATGGTTTAAAAAAATCCTTTCTTTCTAAATCTCGTGTAATCTTAAAATGCGTGACTATTTTTGTGCGTTTGTACAATCAGTGGGATCCGTTGCAATGCATATACTGTATGTGAAGGATAAAAGTAAATTGCGCATTTGTCTCAGGAAATCTAAGGTGTTTCATGAAATGTTTTGTAAAAGATATGTTCATTAAATTTCAACTTTTTCCGAATGTTCTTGTGCTTCTTTAGACCAAAACAAAGGAAAGACACATTTTCTTAGTTATTTATAGCAGAGTATGGTATAATTTTAATGGTCCGGCCCACTTGACATCAACCGAGGCCGTATACGGCCCACAATGCGAAATGAGTTTGACACCCCTGGCGTAGAGTATCAGGTCCATCAAGTGGCTTATTGAAGGCGTGTTGACTATAAACCACGTGTGTTAAAATTCCTAAGTAACCTACAATTGTAAAAAGTTAAACCCACAAAAATGCAAAGTGAAAATTACATCCTCTGATTTTGATGAGTGTTGGCCGCAGATGCTAGGTGTTGTGGCAAAGGTGCCGACATTACAGCGCGTGCCTGGGAGGGCGCCCTCCTTACATTATGCCTGAGCACACCAGTTATGTGTCATAATTGTTTTTTTCTCTAATTGTTGTCGCGACTAGCCATCACAGAGACACATTCCATGTCCGGTACAGTGATCCTTCCACTCTTCTGCTTTGCTATATTTGGTGTGCGTTACGTATTTTTCCATGACATGTCCTACACAGTATCTGTAACAGGTCTGATCATAAAATGCTGCAGCGAGTTAAATATTGATCTTGCAGTGTCTTTCTTCCCCCATTGTAAATGTGTTATCCCTCTCTCACCACGCCCATGCCACGTCCTCTCCCACCCCCTTCTGCCGATGGGGTAAGAGAGTTCATTGTTATCCACTGATTTGTTTTTCTTTCACACTGCTCATGCACCCAGCCTGCACAACACGCACCCACACCCACACACACACCGCTCTTTCCATCCTCTTTGACACTCCTAACCCTCCCCCTTATTTTTTTTTTTTTTTGTGTGCGTTTCTGCCCTTTTTCGAACCATCTGTGCGCAAGTGATGCCGACCACGTCCACCTGCACATGGCTCACAGGAGCATTTGCTTACGCTGACGTTCTGTTTATGTAGCCCCTCATATCCGCTTGTTTGTTTGTCAGTGTGTGTTTGTGTCCTGATGAAGTCGTCTTCCGAAGAGTCGCCAAGGCGACAGAAACTGTGTTCCACTGGCTTTATCCTTATTGACCTCAAAGCATTCAACTGCCTTGAAAGTACTGTGATGACAAACAGCTCTTAACTCATTCGCTCCCGAAGACGTTTTTAAACGTCTTTTCAAACTTGGTCCAGAATTGGCTGGTACTGATTGAGTTTAATATCGGCCTGTGTTCACCAAGCCTTGAGTTCCGTCCCCTAACACTGGCTAACTATGGACACATGTCGACCTTGTTCTTGATGTCCTATTGAGGTAAAAGTGACCTGCTGAAAACACCGCTGAGTAAAGTCCACTTTTAACGCTGCTGCAAACCCACCACAGCTTCTTAAACCAATTCTCTCACTGTCATTCAAAAGGGAGCATTTTATTTGGCACGTTATTCTGTGCGCCACATTGAGAGAGTGCTTGTGGTGGCCAGTTAAAATATTAATTCAATTTCATACATGCTGACGGAAGGCAAAGTTCGCATTTTTGTTGGGTATGTGTGTAAAATGATCATTGCCACCGTCATGATGTAACGATACTTCTGTTCACGGTGATCATGTTACTTGGTGAAAAACTAAGCGCATAGAGCGCTAGCTTGTCTCATCTGCTCAACCAATGTTGTTGCATCACTCTGGTCTCCTCTTCTGCTTACAAAGTAACATCCCCGAAGAAGAAGCGATGAAGTTTCCTCAAGGCTCTCTTCTAACAACCAAGGATGTTTCTTGTTTTCTTCAGCAGTTACACATAAAAAAAAAAAAAATACAGTATTTACCACTCCAAACTTTCTTAGACCTATAAAAGGAAAAAAATACTTCACACTAAAACATGGACAAATATTCTCTTGGGACAACCAAGGGCTTACACCCATTCAAATAAGACCAAAAATAATTATATGACCATACACATCTCATGTTTTAATATTCATTGTTTCAGTGGAAAAATCAATAAACCACTGTGGAATGCCACCACTAGTGTGAGCGTGCATAGTTCATTTCACTTGCGGGATACATTCTTCACCCCTTGCTTCATGTTTTGGATGTTTAGTGTCCACTATAGCTCTGATTATTCACATCGTCATCCTTATTGCGCAATTGCCTGAGTCATTGGTGTCACAATATCAATCAAAAAAGAACAACCTGCTTGCTAAAAACATGTTTGTTTTTTCTTGATGTCAATGTGTCGATTTTTGTCATCCAGGTCAAGGTTGAATCAAGGCATCCAGACTTTTTTTTTTTGTTTTGTTTTGTTGTTCATAAATGTTTAAACAATGACTCAGGGATCAATGCTACTTAGCTAATGTGGTCCTTCGTTTACCAATACAAATGATATCGAATAACCGGTTATTTTCATACAGTGCAACTGTTAATATCGATTAAAAATCAATTTCCATATAATGTAAATCACCACAACCGGTAATTGAAATTAACATTTTTTTTTTTATTGAAAGATTATAAGCATTTATTGTGTAATATTTCAAGAGAAAAGGAATGATACCAGTTCTATTTATAACCAGATATGAGAATCAATTTTCCCGAACCGTGTGTGCCAAAGCATCATTTTGCTTGTTGTAATCGAGTCGTAGGCATGTGTGCCTTTGCGTCACATGCTTTCAGCAACTGTAATGTTTAACTGGTCACAAGATCAGACGCTATGACCATGACCCGCTCAGCTCCGAAGAGAGATTATTGAAGGACCAGTAAAGGCAATGCAAAATTTAAGTTGCTAATGCTGAATGATTGGAGACATGGGCAGGTATCGAGTATTTTGAATTCAACTTACAATTTATCAACCCCATAGTCAATCATATCGTACTGATAAATGACTGCGTAACGAATAGACGTCATTTAACAATATGGCTGTGGCCACACCCCCTCCACTCCTGGGATTACTCGGTCAGGGGTAAAGATAGGATGAACGTATACAGTAGATTGTTGCTGTTGCGTTCATAGCGTTTGTGCAGTGGGTGCAGGTCTGAGCAATGGAAAAGGTAGTGGCACGAAGAGATATGGAAAAAGCAACTTGTTCGTGTGTGTGTGTGTGTGTGTGTGTGTGTGTGTGTGTGTGTGTGTGTGTGTGTGTGTGTGTGGTTTTCCGGCCACAACCAGTGAGAGTTGGTGGTCAATCAACACGAACAAACGGGCCATTAAACTGACCTGGCCCTTGGGCTCTCAATCCTTCCACCCTCTCCCCCCCTCACAGTTTCTGTCTTGGTTTGTCCATTTTCCCAGAAGGCGCGTATCTTCCTTCTTTCTCATCCCTCCCAAAGCTTCTTTACCTTTTCCCCCGTTCTTCCTCCCCTTTCCAGTACCATATCAGCGATTCCCAACCTTTTTTGAGCCAAGGCACACTTCGAAAAAAATCGCACGGCACACTACCAAACAAAATTGTCATAAAAAGAGGACACAGATGTCGCTGTCATACTTTTTGCCAGCTAAGAGAAGATCATTTATTTGTTCTTTCTATCACTCTAAATTTCTGGGATAGATAGATATGCTGTTTGTTATGAATGAATCATTTTCCTCACCAATTAAGTGACATTTGATAAATCCCCCCCAGAGCTCTGACGACACACTCATGTGCCACGGCACACTGGTTGGGAATCACCGGGCTAAGCAGACAGACAGACAAGTTCCAAAGCCATAAAACAGGATGGAAGAAGCTGATATGGCAAAGCCATTAGGCAGGCAGGCAGGCGTAGCTTCGACTCATGTCGCTCTGGTTTGTGGCTCGGAGCGTTGCTGTGGCCTGGCCCTGCAGCTGCAGCTGTGCGGCTGCAAGTCAAGCGGGCCAACTGGGGCCCCCGACAGCCTCCCCTCTCAGGCCGAGGTTCACCACACCAAGACTGTGCCGCGGCGCTCCGCTGGCTAACGTGGGAAGATGAAAAGAATATCAGATGTTTTCTGTATTACTCACACTTTGTGAGTAACACACGCACATGCGTGCCGCTTTTGTGTGTGCGCGTGCCGTCTGCCCTTTCGCTGTATTCTAAGCACGGTCTCGCCTGCCGTT